GGAACAGTTTAGCCATGAAGGAAGGCTGATAAGGTTGGGTTGTGTTTAGAGAAGATTGAGGGAGGACCTCAATATATAATGTGAATAAAATCACGAGGGACATGGACAGGGGGAATAGAAAGCAGCGTTCCCCTTAGTCGAAGAATCAATAACAAGGGGGGGATAATTTTAAGGTGAAATGCAGGAGGTTTAGAGGGGATTTAAGGAAAAAAAATCTTTCCATCCAGAGGATGTGGGGGATTTAGAATACACAGCCTGGGTTGGGGTAATTAAGGCAGGTAACCTCACAATCTTTGAAAACTATTTGGATGAGCACTTGAAATTTCATAACTATCAAGACTATGGGCCTAGTGCTGAAAAGTGGGACTAGATTTAGCGTAACTTCGGCAGGACTTGATGGGCTGAAAGGCCTTTCTATACTGTATGATTCTATGACTCTAAGATCAGTGCAAAAGATAAGGCTGAAGCATTTGCAACAATGCTAAATCAGAAATGCCAAGTGGACAATCAACTCCAGAAGTCTGCAGCATCTCAGATGCCGGTCTCCAGCCAATGCAATCACTCTACATGAGATTAAGAAATGTTTGGAGGCACTGGATACTGCAAAGATCGGGGGTCTTGACAGCATTCAAGCAATATTACTGAACACATGCCCTCCAGAACCTGCTGCACCCCTTGCCAAGTTGTTCCATTACAGCTACAACACTAGCATCTATCCGACAATGTGGAAAATTGTTCAGGTATGTCCTATACACAAATACCAGGACAAACCCAATCCAGTCAATTACCACCCCACCAGTTTACATATGCTCATCAGTAAAGTGATGGAAGGTATCATTAGCAGTGCTACCTAGCAGCACCTGCTCACTGATGCCCATTTTGGCTCCTCCAAGGCCATCCAGCTTTTTATTTCTGTCTTGGTTGAAATATCAAAAAAGAGACATCAATTCCAAAGCTGAGATGAGAGTGGCTGCCCTTGACATCAAGGTTGCATTGTGTACCATTGAGCAGCCCCAGCAAAAGTTGGTGAAGTTGCCATAGTCCGACCAGACCTTAGGGCTGCTCACTCTTTTGACAGAAATGACTCATGGATGGTGGTTTAACCTGAGGGTCACCATGCCTCAGGTGAGGGGAGAGATTAGTAGAGTCCTTCATGGTAACCTCAGCCAGTGCAAGACTCGAACCCATGTTGTTGGTATCATTCTGCATCATATATCAGCCATCAATGACAAAGCAACCCAACTGATTAGCACCACGTGCACAAACATCCATTCACTTCTGTTCAGTAGCAGCAGTGTGTGTGTACAAGATGTACTGCAGAAATCCACCAAGGTTCCTTAGACAGTACCTTTCAAACCCACAACTACTTTCATCTAGGAAAGGGCAACAAATGCATGGGAATACCACCACCTCCAAGTTCCCCTTCAAGCCACTCATCATGCTGACTTGGAAACATATTGCCAGTCCAGTGTTGCAGGGTCAAAAATCTTGGAACTCCCTTCCTAACAGCATTGTGCGTGTACCCTACACCACATGAACTGCAGCAGTTTTAGAAGACAACTCACCACTACCTTCTTAAGGGCATCTAGGTATGTACGATAAATGGTGGCCCAGCCAGTGACACTCAAATCCCATTAAATATTTTTTTAAAAAGCTAACATTAAATCTGCACCTCCTTTTAATTTGCAGCTGTTCACATCATTATTGTCAGATGTACAAGCTCCCATCCTCATTTTTCTTGGATTGCCATTGTAGTAATTCTGCCAGGTGGAATCCTACTCTGATGTGAAGGTGCCGGTGTTGGACTGGGGTGGACAAAGTCAGAAGTCACACGACACTAGTATATAGTCCAACAGGTTTATTTGAAATCACAAGCTTTCCTTTGTCAGGTGAAGTCACTTGTATGCATAGAAACATACATGATACAGAAGTGACATTTGCCAGCGCTTGGTCCAAATCCCTTGAAACCTTTCCTATTCATGTACCTGTCCAAATGTCATTTAAAGCTGTAACAGTATCTGCATCTACCATTTCCTCTGGCAGTTCATTTCATACAAGAACCATGGCTTAATGACTACTCTGCAAGCAGAAATATGTTTCTTTCTATCCACTCTATTCAGGTTCCTCACAATGTACTCACCTCAATTAAACCTTTTCCCAGCCTTTGCTATTTCAAAGGAAATCCTGCCTATCTAATCTTTCCTCATGACGAAAATTCTTAATTTTAGGCAAACCTTCATAAGTCTGTTAAGTATCACATCCTGCCTATATTGCACAAACCACGACATGCAATACTCCAGCTATAGTCCACCAACATATTATACAGTTCTAATGTAACTTTCCTGTTCTTTAAGCTAGATCATTCTGATAGTAACTTCAAAACCAGATTCCCACCACCCTCAACAACTTCTCAACCCCATGCTTTACGGGAATCTATCATCCTCTGCCTTAAAAATATTCAAGGATGGCATCCACCAGTTTTTCACAGACAGTTCCAAAGACTCATGGCCCCCAAATTTTGCCTAATCTCTGTTTTAAATGAGATTTCTAAATAGACCCAGAGTTCCAGATTCTCGCTGAAGTAGAAATATCCTCTCTACATTTACCATTTCAAGATAATTCAGGATTTTATGTGTTTTCATTAAGGCACCTCTTAACTCTTCTAAACCCCATCAAATACAAGCCTGTCCATCCTTTTCTTATAAAACATGCCCCCTTTCCAGATATTAGTCTGCTAAACCTTGTTTGAATTATCTCTAATACAGTTACATCATTCTTCAGTACTGTGCATGGTACTGTAGATGTGGTGGTCTCATGTCTGAATATAGTTCCTAGGGTTAAAGAAATCAAAGATTACGGGGCCAAAGTGGGAACAGAGTACTAAGTTGAAAGATCAATCATGATTATACGAAATGGCGGAACAGGGCCAAAGGACTGAGTAGCGCACTCCTGTCCTTATTTTCTACACCAGTGCCCAGTATAACTGAAGCATAACCTCCCTACCTTTGAATACAATTCATCTCTCAATATATTATAATATTCTATTATTAGTTTTCTTATTTACTTGCCATACACATATACTAATCTTTTGTGATTTATACATGGAAACAGCCAGATCCCTCTGCATCCCTAAATTCTACAATCTCAAACTATGTCGATAATATGGTTCCTTTTTATTGTTTCTACCAAAATGGACAACTTCAAATTTTTCACACATTATACTCCATTTGCCACATCTTTGCCTGTTCACATAACCAATCAATATATTTTTGTAATCTCTTTGTGTCCTTTTCACAACTTACTTTCCTACCTATCTTAGCTTCATCAGCACATTTGGCTTCTATCTCTTCATCCAAGTAATTTACAAAAATAATAAACATTTGAGGCTCCAGCACTAAACCCTGTGGCACACCACTTGTTCCATCTTGTCAGCCTGAAAAAGATTAATTTACACTTACACTGTTTCCTGTTAGCCAACCAATCTTCTATCCATGCTAAATGCTAAGTTCCACACCATAAATATATTTTTCTTTACAAAAACAAATCATGTTGACTCTACCTCATTATCTTGAGCTTATCTAAGTGCCCTGTTATAATTTCTTTAATAATACCCAACATTTTCCTTACCATACTAGCCTAAAATTTATTGCTTTCTGTTCCTAATTCTTTTATCTCCTTCAACTTCCACAGTAGCAGGGAGTTAAATCTGCAGTCATTTTGCCTCAACCAGTAATTAAAATTGCAGTTTTCTTTTAAACCTATTATTTGCTATTTCTTTCAATAGCTGGCACTCTTCTGGGATTCCGAAAGTCTGCACATTTTCAATTAGGCGTTCCTTAATGTCTTTTTCACAGCAGCTGGCTCTTCTACAGCTCTGAAAATGCCCACATTTTCAGCTAAACCATTTCTGACACCATGTTTCAACTGGTCACTTGTCATTGCTCCTGCAGACTGCATACTTACAGCAGAGGTAGAGTTGTATTACTACAGCAAGCCAGCTGGTATATTTAATATAATTGCATTTCTTCAGCTACAGTGGATGTTGTTTCCAAGTTACAGGACTCAATCAACAGCAACTCCCCATTTACCTGGTTTCTCTTTTTGGTGATGCTGAATTGTTTGTAAGGATGGCCCATCACCAATAGTGTCACCCCATTCCTACATTTCGACCTTCCTTATAGTAAAAATGGTTACAGACAGCCCCTTACATTTCTCCTTGAGATTACGCTGATAATGTATGGAGAATCCCCATCCATTTTTGCCTTGAAGGGCCCTTCTTGTAATAAGTAATAACAAGCCCTACTATTTGTAATAGAATCTGGTCAAAACAGTGACCACTGACATTCTTTTACTTGGGATCCTATTAAAATGATTAAATATTATTAAAAGGAGAATAGAAGAGAAAAATGAGTATCATGTTGGGCTCGTGCTCGTGAGATTCGTCGTGAAAGGTTTCCCATTTATGCAATGATTCCCATTTCGCCCTGCTGGGCAAAACAACCATGTACCCTTGGTTTCGGGAAAGCTTCCGTTTACAAAGCTTTACACGTCTCCTTGTTTAACTCTGGGATGTACGTGCCGTCACATACATCCTCAATCTACCTTGGGGTCCTTATCGTAATAGTACTGCTGGGTGCGTATCCAGCGGCCCACCAGATGGTCACGCACGATGTGTGCTAGCGCGAAGTAATAATCCCTCATGGTAGCCACATTACGGTCTTTCACCAGGGTGAAGTGCAGGTGCCGATTAAATCCTAACTTTAATCCCGAAACATTTTCCATGCCGACCAAACCACCTAAACCACGAATAGTGATCTGTTTCTTTCTCTCGCTTGCTAAAACTTGCTTAGCCATTTTGCTGCTCAAGTGGCCAACTGCGCGAGCTCTTTCCGTTGGACCGTTTTCTTCAAACTGCATCTCTCGGCCCCACCCCTTTATGCTACACCCAATCAACTCAAAGCGCATTCTGACTTCACCCAATCACCACAGCTCCAGTTGCTAGTTCTTTCTACAATTCCTCTCCTGTTTGAGCTCCTCTGCCTATGTAGCTCATTTTGAAGAAGAAAAAGAAATCAGTTTCGCCTACTTTTCCAAACTTTTTTGATATTCTTTTTCTTTGACGTTCGAGATCAGGTTTGTGATCTTCCCTGCATTCTCTCCATGGTTTAATTATTTACTTTTAGACTTTTGACTGAAACATTACTCAAGACAGCCTGAACGTGGTTTGTCATGCCATTTTCAAATTATATCAAACTGTTCATTTAAAGAAAATCATTCACAGGATGGCTTGAAAAATATTCATAGTACAGAGGATTACTGGCTGGACGTCTTAAAACGCATAAAGGTGAATAAATCCCCAGGACCTGATCGGACGCATCCCAGAACTTTGTGGGAAGCTTGGGAAGTGATTGCTGGGTCCCGAGCTGAGACAATTGTATAGCCATGGGTGAGATGCTGGAAGACTAGAGGGTGGCTAATGTGGTGCCATTATTTAAGAAAGGTGGTAAGGAAAAGCCAGGGAAGAGTAGAACGGTGAGCCTGAAGTCAGTGATTGGCAAGTTGCTGGAGGGGATTTTGAGGGACAAGATTTGCATGCATTTGGAAAGACAAGGACTGATTAGGAATAGTCAACATGGCTTTGTGCATGTATATCATATCTCACTAACTTGACTGAGTTTTTTGAAGTTATAAAGAAGATTGATGAAGGCAGAGCGGTGGATGTTGTCTATATGGACTTCAGCAAGGTGTTCAACAAGGTTCAGCATTGTAGATCAGTTAGCAAGGTTAAATCACATGGAATCCAGAGGGAACTAGCCATTTGGATACAAAATTGGCTTGAAGGTAGGAGACAGAGGGTGGTGGTGGAGGGTTGTTTTTTGGACTGGAGGCCTGTGACCAGCAGTGTGTTGCAAGGACTGGTGCTGGGTCTACTGCTTTTCATCATTTATATAAATGATTTGATTGTGAATATAGGAAGAATGGTTACTAAGTTTTCAGATGACACAAAAATTGGTGGTGTAGTGGACAGTAAAGAAGGCTATCTTAGAATACAATGGGATCTTGATCAGGTGTGCTGATTGGTTGAGGAATGGCAGAAGGAATTTAATTTTGGTAAATGTGAGGTGTTGCATTTTGGTAAGGCAAATCAGGGCAGGACTTATACACTTCACGGTAGGCAGCTTGCAGCTGTGGTCCTAGGTAGATAGGGTACTGAAGAAGGTATTTGATACACTTGCCTTAATTGGTCAGTGCATTGAGTATAGGAGTTAGGATGTTGTGTTGCAGCTGCACAGGACATTGGTTAGGCCACTCTTGGGATACTGCATTGAATTCTGGTCTCCCTGCAATAGGAAAGATGTTAAACTGCAGAAAGATTCACAAGGATGTTGCTGGGGTTGGAGGGTTTGAGCTATAGGGAGAGGCTGAATAGCCTGGTGCGATTTTCCCTGGAGCGTCAGAGGCTGAGGGGTATCCTTATAGAGGTTTATAATATCATGAGGGGCAATGGATAGGGCGAATAGCCAAGGTCTTTTTCCCATGGTAAGGATGTCCAAAATTAATAGGCATAGGTTTAAGGTGAAAGGGGAAAGGAATAAAAGAGACCTAAGGAGCAACAAAGTGGTGCATGTATGAAATGAGCTGCCAGAGGAAATGGTGGAGGCCGGTAACATTACAACATTTAAAAGGCTCATCTGGAAGGGTTTAGAGGGATATAGGCCAAATGCTGTCAAATGGGACTAAATTAATTTTGGTTATCTGGTCGGCATAGACAAATTGGACCAGAGGGGTCTGTTTCCGTGCTGTACGCCTCTATGATTCCATGTGAGCATAAAAGGCTAGGTCAGCACTTTTTGCACATCCGTAATTGCCCTTGAGAAGGTAGTCTGAGCTCTGTTCTTGAATCACTGCAGTCTATGTGCTGTAGGTAGTCCCACAATATCATTAGGGAAGGAGTTCCAGGCATTTGACAGGCAACAGTGAAGGAATGGCAATATATTTCCAAGTCAGGATGGTGAGTGATATTTTAGAATTAGAATTAGAATATCCTTTATTGTCATGTGTTCTCAAGTAAAGAAGTACAGGAGTACAGTGAAAAGTCTATAGTGCCACCTCTTATGGTGCCATCTTAGGTACAAAGTACCTAGGTACAAATCTTAGACACAAAAAGAGGAACAAAAAAGATAAGTAGTTGCATTACTTTACAGTGATTCATAGTATGATTTGGAAATAAGACATAGTTAAAAGGATAAACATTACAGTCAGATAAACACATTTCAATTAAACATTACATTGCAGTAGCTCAGCGCAGGGGCTTCCACGTGTGGTCTGACCGCCTGCACCAGACCCCAGTCCAACAACCATCCCCACTCCACTCCAAGCCCCGAGTCCGCTCCGCATCGGCTCTCAGCTGCTTCAGGGTAAAATTTCTCTAGGACTCGCTTCCCCTCTCTGGGACACAATTCCCCATGTTGGCTTCTGCTCCAGGACTGCTTCCTGGTGCGGGTCTCCACTCTGGGACTGCTTCCCCTTGCTGGCCTTAGAGTGGAACTTGCAGGTGGTAGTATTTCCATGTATCTGCTGCCCTTGTCCTTCTAGATGGTAGTGGTCACAGGTTTACAAAGTGTTGTGTAAGGAGCCTTGATGAATGTTTCCAATGCATCTTTTTGGTAGCTCACACTGTTGCTACTGAGTGGGTGGTGGAGGGAGTGAATGTTTGTGGCTGTGGTGTCAATCAAGCAGATTGCTTTGTCCTGAATAATGTCAAGATTTGTGAGTATTATTGTAGCTGCACTCATCCAGGCAAGTGGGGAATATTCCATCACATTTCTGACTTAAGCCTCTAGATGGCAGACAGGATTTGGGAGTCAGAAGTTGAGAAACACGTTGCAAGATTCCTAGCCTCTGACCTGTGCTTGTAGCCACAGTACGTATGCGACTAAATCAAAACAGAAATTGCTGAAGAATCTTAGCAGGTCTGGCATCACCTGTGGAAAGAAAGCAAAATCAATGTTTCAGGTCTCGTGACCCTTCTTCATAATGGTGGCATATATGCTGAAGACAGGGGCTGAGGGGGAAGGAGTAAATGATAGGTGGAGATGGAGCCCAGAAAGAAAGAATAGCAATTAGGCAGACAAAGTGATGGATAATGGTGAGCCGGGGAAAAAGAAAAGCTGGTAATAGGGACTTGTAATGGGTGAAAATGGGTTGACTGTGACAAAAACAGCCCATGTGATGATGACCAGAGGTGTGGAGATGGGTAAAGAACATGGAAGGAGGGGTTCAGGCTCTAAAATTATCAAACTCGATATTGAGACTTGCAGGCTGCAGGTCCTGAAATGGAAAATGTGATGCTGGGTAGCATATATGCTGAAGACTTATATGACCAGTCCAGTTCAGTTTCTAGTCATTGGCAAATACTAGGATATTGATATAGGGGGTATCAGTGATGGCGATGCTTTTGAAAGTCAAGGGGTGATGATCAGATTCTTTTTGGCTGGAGATGGTCATTGCCTGGTACTTGACTGGCACACAAATGTTATATGCCGTTTGTCAGCCCAAGCCTGGATGTGTTCATCCAGCTCCACACTGTGTTATCATTATCTCGATCATGTTGCATTTGGGCATGGACTACATCAGTATCTGAGGAGCTCCGAACATTGTGTAGTCATCAGCAAACTTCCCGCTTCTGAACTTATGATGGAGCTGGTTCCAGTAAATATGAACTGGGTGCAGTGATCACTCACTGACAATAAAATTGTTGTTGGTCAAAAGCTTCAGTTTGTTCCCTGAGCTTATGTCTTTTCTTTCTTTGCTTTTGCTGTTGCTGAATAAAACAGAATGATTTGAATCACTTGAAGGCTTTCCTGTATGTTATGGTCCTACACTGAACAATAAGAAGATATTGGACACTGGGGAAGTAGTAGCACTCCTTTTCACGGGATTCTAAGATAGAATGAGGCTAAGTTCGGGTAAGCTGTATTGCTCAGTTCTTAAATAGTAATAAATGTCTAAATGTGAACGTATCTGTGCAATAATGTTTTAACTATGTTTCCTGAGAAGCATTCGTTTTTGATTACCCTCCTACTACCTACATGTGAAGGGCAGCTTTGGAGGGACAGCGCTTGACTAGGTGCACAACCAGGCTTTAAAGATGGTGTGAAGCCAGGGATCCTGGGATGTCCCAGCAGTGGTAAGTATTTCTGCCTAAAGTGAGTGGGACAACCCAAAAAGTGGGATGCCTTAGGGGTGTGATGCATTGGTAAGAAGCATGACTAAACCTGCTAGGCGGCACGGAAAGAAACCCATCATGAAAGTTGCCAAAATTGACACTAGCCGATTGCTGGCAAAATTCAGCCTGCAGTCTTTGTTCAGAGTCTCCTCAGCCTTATATCACTGAAATCAGAATCATCATATAGTAAGTTACAATGGAGAAATTATATTCTACTTTAATATAAAGTGCAGCACATTACAGAACCACTATGCTGTGCTGTTTCACTGTAGAACATAGAACATTACAGCGCAGTACAGGCCCTTCGTCCCTCGATGTTGCACCGACCTGTGAAACCAATCTGAAGCCCATCTAACCTAAACTATTCCATTGTCGTCCATATGTTTATCCAATGACCATTTAAATGCCCTTAAATTTGGCGAGTCTACTACTTTTGCAGGCAGGGCATTCCACACCCTTACTACTCTCTGAGTAAAGAACCTACCTCTGACATCTGTCCTATATCTATCACCCCTCAATTTAAAGCTACGTTCCCTCGTGCTAGCCATCACCATCCGAGGAAAAAGGCTCCCACTGTCCACCCTATCTAATCCTCTGATCATCTTGTATGTCTCTATTAAGTCACCTCTTAACCTTCTTCTCTCTAACGAAAACAGCCTCAAGTCCCTCAGCCTTTCCTCATAAGGCCTTCCCTCCATACCAGGCAACATCCTGGTAAATCTCCTCTGCACCCTTTCCAATGCTTCCACATCCTTCCTATAATGCGGTGACCAGAACTGTACGCAATACTCCAAGTGCGGCCGCACCAGAGTTTTGTACAGCTGCAACATCACCTCATGGCTCCGAAACTCGATCCCTCTACCAATAAAACCTAACACACCGTACGCCTTCTTAACAACGCTATCAACCTGGGTGGCAACTTTCAGTGAGAAATGACTGATGGTACTTTTAATATTGTGGTGTCATACTACCTCAAGTAATATTTCAACTACCCTAAAAATAAACTTTATTTTTAATTTATTTCCCTATTTAGGATTAGATTATTGAGCAAAGTAAGAGAACGTATTGTATCAGACATAATAATCATGCATGAACTGCCCAACAGCATGCGCTGTAGTGATGAAGGGCTAGTGCCCCTACGTTTGGGCCAGAGGTCCAGGTCCAATTCACACTTGCTCTGAAGGTTTGAGAAAATATCTCATGAACTTCATATGGAATAGGCTTGATAATTCACCATGCTCTTTGCTCACTAAACTTTATTTTCTTCGAAACACATTCATTCTGGATTTAAACTGTTACTGTTACCTTTATCATATCACTTGAACATTAGTACTACACAACAAAAACCCATAAAACTTGTACATATGTAGTGTCTTTGACAATCTCAATTTGCTGTTATTCGAAAGAACATTCCCCTCAACGCTAAGTTGCAGTGTTAGCGCAGATTTTGGGCTTAAGAGTCTGAAGTGGAACTTGAATACAATCTTCTGAGTTAGGGTAGAATGCTGCTACTAAGTAACAACAAACATCACTGTGTCCTCAGTTAACATCTGCCCTTGAATTGTTCACTTTCTCCAAATGGTTTTGAAATTCACCATGATCAACAAGTGATTAACTAGCCCTTTTGTGACAACAATCTGTTATAGCTAATTTAAGTACAGTTTGCTGATCCAAGTCTCAGGACTTTTATGCTACACCCAACCAAAGGTCAAGAATTTAGCTTCTCAAGAGACAGACTTAGTTATGGAACTGCTATGCTCAAGATAAGCACCAAAAACCTGCGCTTCACCTTACACAAGAAAACTCACCCAAAGGGACATACCTATTAACCCTATATTGAAGATGGAGAAGAAAGTTGTTCATCCCAAATGAAATGTAGATGATTAGAAAGGATAATCCTTTGGCCATCTGTTTCTAAGGAGTTGATGAAAAGAAAACAATCTGCAATTGTCAACCCTGTTTATTGCCAAATAATTTAATACCCTTTCCTCCAGCAGGAAGAATTCAGCTTTCTAATGCTACAACCACCACAATTAAAGGGCTGATTATATGTGCTATAATTTTTGATATAGTGTTAAACTGTGGCTCATTTGCATTTTATTTGGATTTTTAAAAAAATGCACAATAACTTGTATTTATGTTGCAATGTAATAAAATGTCCCTGAGTGTTTCAAAGATCTTTAGCTAAGGAACTATACAGCTTGTGTTATGGTTAGTATTTTCTTTGTTAATCAACACCCCCACAATCAGATCACCTTCACAACCCTGGCTGCTTGTGGGGACTTATGAGAAAACTCCTGAGTTCTGAGGAAGGGTCACCGGACCCGAAACGTTAACTCTGTTTTCTCCTCCACAGATGCTGCCAGACTGCTGAGCTTTTCCAGCAACTTTGTTTTTGTTCCTGATTTATAGCATCTGCAGTTCTTTTGGTTTTTATGAGAAAATTGAATTTTGCTTCCAGGTAAATGAAAGTATTTGTGGCTATCTTGTGTGTATCTTGATGCTTCTCAAAGGCATCAACTGTTGTTTGTTTCACAGATACTGTAAGCTATCCAGAATGTTGCCAAGATGCCATTGTTAGCAGAGATCCTGAATTTGATTTAAACTGATCATCTCTGATACCATCTAAGTCCCTCTAAGAAAACTAATGATACATCAAGTGAACTTTCCTTTCCACTGCCCTTCTGGCAGCATAGTACAGTTGATATATTGCTCAATACTTATTTTGTGTTGATTGCAAAAAAGACGACTTGCAACCTGGTCCATTGTACATGTTGTAGATCAGCTAGAGTGTCAGGATTACCAAGGAAACTGAAGTTACTGTATATTAATAATCCCAAATTTTCCAGCTGTTGCAAATTGAAATGTACCATTATTTTTGTCACTTATTGTTTTCACCCCAGGACCACAACCATAGTAGACATCATCATGTCATTTTTCCTCTCGATGAACTGCCATACTCTCTTTCTACAATTTCCTAGCTGTTGAAAGAAGTGCAGTTAGTCATTCATTTCACCTAGTCCGATTATTGCAACAGCTCCCCCTATTAAATCCCCATAATTACTACCACCATACCAGATGATCTGACTTGAAGTGATGCACCAAGAAACAAATCATGTTAGTTATAGCCTCCGATTGGGATATATTTTTCGGTGACCCAAGTCTTACCTGTTTCAGTATATGAATGATCACAGTAGAGTTAAAAATCAGTGGCATCTTGGCCCATAATAGACCAACAAGGAGATTGCACTTTCTCACCTAAATACTTCCATGGATATCTGTTCACACATAACTCACACAATAAGACACTAATTTTCCCCTTCCCGCTTAATCTAAACTCAAGGTCCAGGAATAGTCTCAAACCCCCAACCACCAATATATAGAGTTACCATAATACACAAAGCTATGCATGTACAAGAATGGAAGAATAAAGATATTGAAGTTCCAGTTAAGAATAAAAAAGAATCATATATTAAATATAGACAACTGGGATCAACTGAATCTCTTGAAGAGTATAAAGAGTATAGGGGCATTCTTAAGAAGGAAATCAAGAAGGCAAAGAGGAGATATGAGATAACCTTGGCAGATAAGTTTTAAGATAATCCAAAAAGATTTAACAAATGCATTAACAGCAAGAGAGCAACTAGAGAGAGTGTAGGATCTCTTAAAGATCAATAAGATTGTCTTTAAGTTGAACCTGAGGAGATGGGAGAGATAGTAAATGAATATTTCACATCAGTTTTTACTATTGAGAAAGAAATGGAAGCTAGAGGACTCAGGAAAGTAAAAATTGATGTTTTGAAAACAGTTCACATTATAGAATAGGGAAGTGCTGGAGGTCTTAGAAAACAAAGTTGATAAATCTTCAGGATCTTATCAAGTGTATGCTAGGACATTGTGGGAAGTTGGGGAGGAAATTGTGGGGCCCGGAGCAAGCTGGAAACTTGTAGACCTATGAGTCTGACATCGGTAAGTTGTTGGTAATTCTGAAAGATAGGATTTACATGCATTTGGAGAGGGAAGCATTGATTAGGGATAATCAGCATGGTGGTTTGTGAGGAAAATCATCTCTGACAAACTTGATTGAGTGTTTTTTTAATGAAGTAACTGAAGAGATTGATGAGCAGTTGACATTGTTTACTTGGACATTAGTAAAGCCTTTGGCAAGATTCCACATGGTAGACTAATTAACAAAGTCAGATCACATGGGGTTCAGGATAAGGTTGCCAACTGGATACAAAATTGGCTTGATGGTAGGAGACAGAGGCTGGTGATGGTGGAGGGTTGATTTTCGGACTGGAGGCCTGTGTCCAGTGGTGTTCCGCAGGGATTGGTTCAGGGTCCTGTTTTGTTTGTCATTTATATAAATGATTTGGATGAGAATATAGGAGGCATGGTTAGTAAGTTTACAGATGACACAAAAATTGGTGAATTTGGTGACAGTGAAGATGGTTATCTAAGATTAAACAGAGATCTTGATCAATTGGGTCAGTGGGCTAAGGAGTGGCAGATGTACTTTAATTTAGATAAATGTGAGGTGTTGCATTTTGGTAATACAAACAAGGACAGTACTTATACAATTAGTGGTAGGGCCCTGCTGATGTTGTAGATCAGAGAGACATATGGGTTCAGGTACATAATTTTTTGAAATCTTGGTCACAGGTAGACAGGGTGGTAAGAAAGAGTTAGCACGCTTGCCTTCATTGCTCAAACATTTGAGTATAGTAGTTGGGACGTCATGTTGAGGTTGTACAGGTCATTGGTCAAGGCCTCTTCTGGAGCAGGATGTTGCTGAGAATGGAGGGTTTCAGATATAAAAATAACCTAGAAAGGCTGGGACTTTCACTGGAACATAGAAGGTTGAGGGGTGACCTTATTGAGGTTTATAACATCATGAGGGGAATAGATAAGGTGAATGAGAAGGGTCTTTTCCCTAAGGTGGGAGATTTCAAAACTAGAGGGCATTTTTTTAAGGTGAGAGGTGAAAGATTTAAAAAGGACATGAGGGGCAACATTTTTACACAGAGAGTGGTTCATGTGTGGAATTAATTGCCAGGGAAAGTGATGGATGTAGGTACAGTTACAATGTTTAAAAGAAATTTAGATAAGTTCACAAATGACAAAAGTTTGGAGGAATATGGACCAAGGCACAGGCAGGTGGGACTAGTTTAGTTTGGGAACATGATGGGCATGGACTGGTCAGACCAAAGGATCAGTTTCCATGTTGTATAACTCTATCTGAATGCAAACATAATGCAAACTGTGTGGAGGGTCGGTAAGGTGAGCTTTTTTTCCTTTATCTTTATTTCTTGGCAGTCTAGAGCAGAGGGGATGGAAGCTAGGGAAGTTGCATGCTCCTCTTGTAGGATTTGAGAGGTAAGGGTCACCACTAGTGTCCCTGCTGACTTCACCTGCCAGAAGTGCACCCAACTCCAGCTCCTCACAGACCGCGTTAGGAAACTGGAGCTGAAGCTGGATGAACTCCGGGAGGCTGAGGAGGTGATAGGAGTTATAGGAAGATAGTCACACCCAAGTTACAGATAAAGGTAGCTGGGTGACCATCAGGAGATGGAAAGGGAATAGGCAGACAGTGCAGGGATCCCCTGTGGCCTTTCCCCTCAATAATAAGTATACCACTTTGGATACTGTTGGGGGGGACAACCTACCAGGGGAAAGCCATAGCGACCAGGTCTCTGGCACTGAGCCTGGCTCTGTGGCTCAGAAGGAATGGGGGAGAATAGGAGAGCGATAGTGATAGGAGATTCACTAGTTAGGGAACAGACAGGAGATTTTGTGGTCGCGAACAAGACTCCCAGATGGTATGTTGCCTCCCTGGTGCCGGGGTCAAGGATGTCTCGGATCAAGTCAACAGGATTGTTAAGGGGGAGGGTGAGCAGCCAGAAGTCGTGGTACACATCGGTACCAATGACATAACTAGGAAAAGGGATGAGGACCTGAAAAGTGAATAAAGGGAGTTAGGTTGGAAGCTAAAAGGCAGGATGAGCAAAGTAGTAATCTCTGGATTAGGAATAGAGGCTAGGAATACAGAGCGAGTGCAGCTGAACACATGGCTACAGAGTTGGTGTAGGAGGGGGAGCTTTAGATATGTGGACCATTGGGATACCTTCTGGGGAAGGTGGGACCTGTACAAGAAGGAACAGTTGCACCTGAACTGGAGGGGCACCAATATCCTGGGTGGGAGGTTTGCTAGAGTTCTTCGGGAGGGTTTAAGCTATTTGGCGGGGGGATGGGAACTGAAGCTATGGATCAGAGGATGGGGTAGCTGGTGTACAGGCAGATACAGCATGTCTGTAAGGAAGGATAGACAGTTGATAGGGCAAAGTTGCAGTCAGTCTGACGGTTGAAGTGTGTCTATTTTAACGCAAGAAGTGTCAGGAATAAGGGTGATGAACTTACAGCATGGATCAGTACTTGGAGCTACGATGTTGTGGCCATTACGGAGACTTGGATATCACAGGGGCAGGAATGGTTGATGGATGTTCCGGGGTTTAGATGTTTCAAAAGAAGTAGAGAGGGGGTTAAAAGAGGTGGGGAAGTGGCATTGCTAATCAGGGATGGTATCACAGCTGCAGAAAGAGAGTTCGTCGAAGAGGGTTTGTCTACTGAGTCAATATGGATGGAAGTCAGAAACAGGAAAGGAGCAGTCACTTTATTGGGAGTTTTCTATAGACCCCCCAGTAGCAACAGAGACACTGAGGAACAGATTGGGAGGCACATTTTGGAAAGGTGCAGAAGTAATAGGGTTGTTGTCATGGGTGACTTCAACTTCCCTAATATTGACTGGAACCTCCTAAGTGCAAATAGTTTGGATGGAACAGATTTTGTCAGGTGTGTCCATGAAGGATTTCTGATTCAATATGTAGATAGGTCGACTAGAGGGGAGGCCGTATTGGATTTGGTGCTTGGCAACGAACCAGGCCAGGTGTCAGATCTCACGATGGGAGAGCATTTCGGTGACAGTGATCACAACTCCCTGAACTTTACTATAGACATGGAGAGGGATAGGAGCAGACAGTATGGGAAAGTATTTAATTGGGAGAGGGGTAATTACAATGCTATTAGGCAGGAACAGCGGAGTATAAATTGGGAAGGGATGTTCTCAGGGAAATGCACAACAGAAATGTGGAGGTTGTTTAGGGAGCACTTGCTATGAGTACTGGATAGGTTTGTCCCACTGAGGCAAGGAAGGGATGGTAAGGTGAAGGAACCTTGGATGACAAGATATGTGAAACATCTAGTCAAGAGGAAGAAGGAAGCTTACTTAAGGTTGAGGAAGCAAGGATTGGACAGGGCTCTAGAGGGTTACAAGGAGGGAACTAAAGAATGGACTTAGGAGAGGTAGACGGGGGCATGAAAAAGCCTTGGTGGGTAGGATTAAGGATAACCCCAAGGCATTCTGTACTTAAATGAAATAAAATGATGATGGTCAGTGTGAGGGTAGGGCTGATCAGGGATAGCGGAGGGAACTTGTGCCTGGAGTTGGAGGAGGTAGGGGAGGTCCTTAATTAATACTTCACTTCAGTATTCACCAGTGAGAGGGACCTTGTCGTTTGTGAGGACAGGCTGATTGCTCGAACGGGTTGATGTTCGGAAGACGGATGTGCTAGAAATTTTGAAAAACATGAGGATAGATAAGTCCCCTGGGCCAGACAGGATATACCCAAGGTTACGATGGGATGTGAGGGAAGAGATTGCTGCGCCTTTGGTGATGATCTTTGCATCCTCACCGTCCACTGGTGTTGTACCAGATGACTGGAGGGTGGCAAATGTTATTCCCTTGTTCAAGAAAGGGAATAGGGATAATCCTGGAATTACAGACCAGTCAGTCTTACTTCTGTGGTGGGCAAATTATTGGAGAGGATTCTGAGAGATAGTATTTATGATTATTTGGAAAAATATAGTTTGATTAGAAATAGTCAGAATGGCCTTGTGAGGGGCTAGTCATGCCTCACAAGCCTTATTGAATTCTTTGAGGATGTGACAAAGCACATTGATGAAGGTAGAGCAGTGGATGTGTTGTATATGGATTTTAGCAAGACATTTGATAACGTTCCTCATGGTAGGCTCATTCAAAAAGTGAGGAGGCATGGGATTCAGGGAAATTTGACTGTCCAATAGAAGACAAAGGGTGGTAGTAGATGGAAAGTATTTAGCCTGGAGCTCAGTGACCAGTGGTGTTCCACAGGGGTCTGTTTTGGGACCTCTGCTCTTTGTGATCTTTATAAATGACTTGGATAAGGAAGTGGAAGGGTGGGTTAGTAAGTTTGCCAATGACACGAAGGTTGGTGGAGTTGTGGATAGTGCGGAGGGCTATTGCAGGTCTTATGTGGACAGGTTGAGGGAGCTAAGGGCTTTTCTCATTAGAGCGAAGAAGGATGAGTGGTGACTTGATAGAGGAGTACAAGATGATGAACGGCATAGATAGAGTGGATAGCCAGAGATTTTTTTCCCAGGGTGGAAATGACTATCACGAGGGGGCATAATTTTAAGGTGATTGGAGGAAGGTATAGGGGAGATATCAGAGGTAGGTTCTTTACACAGAGAGTGGTGGGTGCGTGGAATGCACTGCCAGTGGTGGTAATAGAGTCAGATACATTAGGGACATTTAAGCGACCCTTGGATAGGCACATGGATGATAGTAAAATGAAGGGTTTACATTAGGGACATTTAAGTGACTCTTGGATAGGTACATGGATGATGGGTTTGCAGGTTAGTTTGATCTTAGAGTAGGATAATAGGTCAGCACAACATCGTGGGCTGAAGGGCCTGTACTGTGCTGTACTGTTCTATGTTCTAAGTTCAAACTGCCCATACATCACAGTCTAAGGAAGGGTAAACTTTGCTGATCAATACAAACACAAGTAATTTAAAATGAATTAGTACAAACAACAAGCTGTACTATTATATCTTAACATGTTCTGATTGTGGTCACAGGTTGTAGAATTTACAGTAGACATATATTTGGTTAAAGTAGATAGCTTGTATTCACTGGAGTTCCATTTTCTAACCTTTCTTGTTGTTCTTTTTCTCTTCTCTTTCCCCCAGGTTCATAAGGGTAATCCATTATACACAAAGTAGACATGTTGGCTTCAATCTTACATTTTTTTGGATAAGACCGAGTTGTGTCGAGTTTTCCGGGGGTTTGTTGCTGTGAAACCAGCAAGTTCACTCATTGTATCTTGCCAGACTCATCTCATTAATAACTTAGCACCCCATGGCATCTCTCAAGTCTGATTTCCTCCCCATCTTACCATGCACTGGTCCAAGATCAACTTGCCAGTCAGCAGATATCTCAGAATTCTGGCATCCCATATGGCTGCACCATCTTTAAAAAAACTGTTGTACACCTGGACAAGCACTGTCAGTCTGGAGCTGCACGGTTATTGACATTTGTTTCAGAAATGAAAGACAGGAAAAAAATCAGCACTCTGCTTTGTGGGCAGGATTCAGAAGGTCCTACTGGATGGAACAATACACAAACAGGACTTCCTCTTCCCCCGGACGAGCAGTGAAAGCCGTGATACTAGACCATGCCAGCCTAGTTGGAGGTTGAGACCCAGGTTAAAGCACTCTCAGGCATCTGGAGAAATGCCAAGCACAATAGGAACAAGGTCAATGTCGTTCTCCAGTCTGCTAATGTAAGTTCCACCACCTTCCCTCATATTCACTCTAGCTCTGTTGCTGCACGCACCTCCCACCAAGGCTCATGCTTCACCATGCTCACTGTTGTCTGCAAAGATCTTCCCTTCTCACTCACCCTAAGCCCTGACACCACTGATCCTGCCTACTCATTTGCCCAAGACACCTTTCCACCTGCATTAATAGTTGTGGCTGTGCCACCCACTTTCATCTCTTGTAATACCTGCCTCTCTCTCAATCCATGATAGCAGCCACAACACGGTAGAAAGAGCCAAGATGGGTGGTGTGCTTCCTGTCATTCAACTCCTCACCATTTACGAGAAAAGGATCCTGATTCTGACTACCCGAAGCAGGGCCTGGACTGATATTGGAAGCTGCCTTTGACTTACTTTGTGGAACACCCTCAGCAAAGTCTATTTTTGTTTCTTATATCCAGAAGTGCTCTCACACAAGTGAACATTCTTTTCCCACCACCAAATTCCTGAGTGAAATCTATTCCCTTGATTTAACTGAGGCTGATTGACAACGGTGACAAGTTTCCTAGCTTTGTGTCTGTGCTAAATGGCACAGCGAGGCAACAGTAACATGAGCCTGGTATCTGTGGCTGAGGGATTGATGTACAAATAAAAGCAATGCAATGCAAGGCAAGGATGTCTTCAGAATCCATATAGGCCCAGAATGGGTAAGTGCTAAGATAGCCCACTCCAGTCTATGAGCTGAGTGTATCTCTGAGCACAAAGTGACCTTGCTGTGGCATTACAATGATAGTTGCCAGTGCAGCTCAAGGTGCATCATTGAACATCCTGTAAGCGGATTGGAAATGTAAATTTAGTGCTCTCAGAGTCTGTCACATCAGATGCCAGTGCCTGTGCTCCTGGATTGTGTGTGGCAAATGCCCATGGAATACGTCCTCAGACACTGGTGCTCTGTGTCCAACATGGAGGTTATTCGGAACCAGCGGTGAGTTGAATCTGACAGGTACACACTCTGGTTTCCTTGTCAGGATTTTCCAATGTTGAGCTTATTTGATGAGTTTGGTAGGATAGGAGGCTGAAAATTAATGAGGTGAATTGAGCTATTGTAAAGCAATAATCACTTTCAATTGGCAAATTTCTACTGCCTAGTAAGAATCTCATCTCGCTGTTGTGAAAAGCAAAAAATCAGCACAAGTTGGTCCCAAAGTTCAAATGGCCCTCGCTGCACTTTGTCACCCAGTTCTGTCAAGCATCTTGCTATAGTCTACATTGTTCAGACCTCTGTAGGATCATGCCGATGAATTAACTCTGTGAATTATTGATGTTTGTTCAATTTTACTCCAACTAACTTTTGGAAAGGAAAAGACTCTTTAAATGTACAAAAATATGACTTTTTAAAAACATTATGTACCTTACATCCGAAATGCAGCTTTGCAATTTAAATGGAATGGCACAAGAACTTATAAAAGTTTATTTGAACAGCAAACATTAGCAATTTCATCATTATCTACAACAGTAAGCAACATAATCAGCTTGCTGTATGGTCATGGGCTCCATATTACAATATACTACAAATCTAACAAACTTGATGAGCACTATATTGGCCACCAATATCATCACTACGATAAGTGAGAAATTTGTGGTCCAGCCACTTCAAACTGCTGAACTACAGACTGATGTTGCTCAGCAACAGTATCAGTGAACTTTAGTGATGATCTTAAATGAACCAGCATAAATGTACTGAGCAAATAAATTAGGTCAAAATTCCAGAATTTGGCAATGTATCAAAGATGAACAAATATAACATTCAAAATTATATCAAACACTAAAGTTTCACATAGTCAGTTTCTTTTAATTACCACAGTTTTTAATGAATTGATGCTATGACCTCATGTATTTATTTTAAATTCTTGCCCTCCTACAAATAGCTCAAGATTGGCACATGAAGGATTTTAGCAACTAAACTCATCACCATTTTGTTTAGAAAGTCTTTCAAGACAGATAAAAATTAACTACTTAAAATTGTAACATGCAGCATGCATATGTCATCAACACTTTGATACAAGACTGATTATAATCAAAGTTAAGGTTCTGAAGGTTAAACACAGTGTTGCATTGTCCTTTTAAATTGATGCCTGGTTGTTTGAATTACCAACAAGTTTAATTGCACCTTTAAAGACTCACTCACGAACACTATTGGTGAGGATTTGGAATTTTCTGAGCAGATGAGTTGATTATTTCTTTTAAAAGAAGATGTAATGCAAATCAGCCACTATTGTTCGTACAAAATTATAAAGGAAGTCCAGGCTTGTAACTAACTAGGAGAATGAGCATGAATGAAGCTTGGTATCATCTGAACCCTGAGATTAGAATATTTGAAAAAGGCATTGTCATAAGCACAACAGAGTGTAAGACACTTTACGGGAGGATGCAATGGCAGTCAGAAATATAATGTCTTTTCATTATCAGATGTCTACTCAATGACAATAAGAATTTGATTAAATTTAAAGTCTGAAAACAACATTGTAAACTTTATGCTGTAGCAGATAGGGTACACTTCTGCTGCATTGCTGTTAGTGGCCAACCTTGTATAATATGCCATACAATATTAACATCAAAAAATGCTGCTTCAGAAACTAGGTCCGTCTGAGTTTCTCATCAAACAGTCATAATTTTTACAGTCGATCCTTATTATAGCACTTATTCATACCATGAGCAGTCTGATGACAGACCGTAATTCACAATGAGCCAGGCTTGTAGATTAGTCACATTTGTGTGGACCCTCACAAAAGCTAAAGATTAGTTGGAAAAATGAGAATTTGTGGCTTATTTCTGCTGCCTTCGAAATGTTGGGCAGAATTATACTTTGTTTTGACAAGTGCAAGTCATGTTGCATTTGATAGAAAAAGACTTGCCATAAGGCTGGGTGAGTTTTCTTGCTGTACCTTATCAAACTCGCCACTTTAATTGCTGACCCAATGGAGAGTATCAAATTATATCTCTGTCCCATCTTACCACGCCCCATTCCCAGAAGAACTCGCTACTCACTGAAAATCCATCATAAGACATGCATCCCTTATGGCTGTGTGATCTTTAAGTACCCACAGTGCATCTGAAATAGTAGCAGTACTAAAATATAGACATTCGCCAGGTGGTCAATGTGCTTCATTGAGCACTGCCTCTAACCAATGGCTGTGATGCCTCATGCCTTCTTACTTTAGAGCTGCAACCAATGTGTCGAGCACATTAGCCGAGAGGCCATCATCTCCCCTAGAGGAGGCTGGGGTATGATACTGTTCAGGATGTGAGGAAACATTGGCAAGGCTGCCCACTGCTCCCTCCCAGCCCCCCATCAGCAGCGACACTAAAACATTGGTGGGCTTAATAGGTGAAAGGAGTGTGGGTTGGAAGCTGCTTAAGACCTCACAGCGACAGTTGCACAGAGAGAAACACCCTAGGCCACTGACACTCAAGCAGTGCTGGCAGTCAATCACCTGCTCAGCCCATGGCAGGAGGAGATCCTGTGGTCCTGTCGTTGAGGGACTTCATGGACATGTTCAGAAATAATTAAAATCAGGAGGCAGGTATTCAGGCGCTATGGAGTTACTATTGCTCTTACAGAGAAAATGGACTGACCATGATCGCTCACTGAATCTCAAAGGCAGAGACTCAATCTGTAAAACCGACCCCGTGGGATGCCTGTCTGTGGTGATGGCTGGGACAGGTGTGGAAAGCTGCTATTAACTAACTATTCCATAGCCTCCCTGACTAATGGGTGCCCCCAAGGAGTTGGGTGCAGACCACTCTCTGAAAAACTTTCGGACATGTCCCAATGCTTGCTGCAAATGCCTCGAGTTTGGTGTGAATGCTGTTGCCACATGGTACAAATGGTAGCTGGATGTTGCTCACTGACATACGAGATGTAGCAGATGCCCTTAACTGAGCACTGCTTACAGCGTGGTGACCTGCCTGGTTTTGTGACAGTGCCAATTTCCATCACAAGGCATGACAGGCTAAGGTTTCCATGCTGTAGGCATGCTGGCAGGCACCAGGTGAATGTGAACTGAGAGCGAAAGGGAGCAGTCCTGGTTTGCAACCAATTCATACTGTCAACCAGGTATCTCTCCCTTTGTGGCTACTGTGTACCCTGCTTCACAAGTCTTGGATTGCAGGATGCAATATAAGAGCGTTTCATTGATACCAAGATGGTGCCAATGGCTCCCTGAAAGTTGGGTTCTAGTGCCATTGGTGAAAAGGGTGCAAGTGGCTGTTGCTCGTGGGTTGTGCTCTGCACTGCAGTTCGATTGTGGACAATGTGGAAGTCACTTGGAGCAAGTAGCAAGTTGAACACTCTAGGTAACCACTCAGATTTCTCTGTTGAGTTTTCCTGAAAGCCAATTTGTGTTGCATATTTGGTAAGATTGCAACCTGTGGCAAGATGGGCTGTTAGCAAGCAATAGAAAGTATTAATTAGGAACATGTTCTTGTGCGAGAATCCCACCACATCCTTTCAGCAAAGCAGGGTAGTTGACTTAAGATGATGTCAAAGTTGAGACAACTATCTCACCTGTCTGCCACACATCTCACTTCAGTTGCTTATTAACACTACAGGTAGACTTTAGTATTTTCATTTAGGAAAGGCAGTTTCTCATTAGGGTGGTAAATTGTTACTTTCTGTTTCTTTTTTCTCAAGGTCTAATACAGATAAATATTATGATTTATACAATGAATGAAAGTAGTGTTTTAAGTGGTGCTTTTAATTTTATAAATTATCCCAAGGCACTTTAGAAATAGTCATAATAAAAAATTGATGTGCACTTAGGGAGAATTTGGATCGGTATTAAAACTTTCTCAAAACTCATTTATGTTTTATGGATCTAGGAAAAGATTTTAAAGAAAATACATTATGCCTATTATTTCTGCTTTTGTTTGTATAGATGATTAGAGTTGGAAGATTAGATTATTGAAGATGGAAGAGATTAGAGATAGGTAGAATAAGGCAATGAAGGGATTTTAAATAAATTGTATGGAACCATGGTGCCAATGCAAAGTAGCAAGAATGGGGTTGACGACATTGTGGGGAAGAATTGATGTAGTTTTAAGTGCCTTGAAGGACATTGTTTCTGGAAGGTGCAAGAGCCAAGAAGAATTAAAACGCTGGAGGTACACAAATATTTTATCTTGGGGAGGAAGCTGAGGTAGGAATGGAGTAGTTAGTTGAGCCAATGTTGCAGAAGTGTGGGTGACTGGTTATAAGAATATAGAAGGATGGTTAAAGATCAGTTCAAATCGTACAGTGTCGAGCGTACAAATGCCCTGGTTCAGTTCTAGCATGACAGAAATTGTAAAAGAATCATGACTAAAGAGTGTAGTTCAATGTAACACACCAAAATAATGGCCTTTGTCTCCCTCAGGTTGAATTAGAAGAAGGGAACTCATTCAGATGTCAATGTTTGACATTTGATCTAGTAGCACCGGCACTCAGAGTCAACAAAAGTAGCAGAGGTAAAAGCTTGTGCTCAGCCTGGCAAGTCTGAACTGTGATATTCTGGGTTACCTAATTGAGCAATTATCCTCCTTGATGAGGGATCCTTTCCTAACCCAACTTCTCTCCAAACTGTACAGCTTGAACTTTGGTTACCGGCTTACACTTGGAATTATTTGTGAATACACCACAACCAAACTAAATATTGTATTCCAAGGTATAGTGTAACTAATGCCTCGGTGTAATCTTCACTTTTCGTTGTGCCAAATATTCAAGAACTTCCAATTGTGATCCAATTGTAATTCTTTGCTCACAATATAATTTGTGGTATGTTTAAAATGTAATGTTAATTCTTTTGCTAATGGACTTGAAAGAGTAGATGCTGGGAGAATGTTTCTTCTGATTTGTGTCAAATTAGGGTGTCACAGTTTCGGAATAATGAGGTGGCTATTCAGGATTGCAGTTTGGAGAAATTTGTTCACTGAAAGAGTTGTGAATCTTTATAATTCTGTACCTCTGAGAGCTGTGGATACTTAATCATTGAGTATATCCAAAGCAGAAATCAAAAGACTTTTGGGTACAAAGTGAATCTAGGAATATGGAATTGTGTAAAATGTTGGAATTGAGGTAGATGATCAACTAAAAGTTTACTGTGTGACCAAGAGGTCCAAAGAACTACTGCTTGTATTTTTACATACCAAAATTCTGTGTCATATACTTTATTCATATTATAGTCTGTTCAATGAGACGGATCTCAGTGGAAATACTATTTTTGATAGAAATACTAAATGTATGTTTATCCACAAAAATATATTGTAAAATGTTTGACTCAAGGGATTCCCAGTTTGGTCCAAAATTCTGATTTTTTTTATAAAATGCTTTCAAGTTTGATTTGTTTTTCCAGGAGCAACTCTTAAAATTATGTCAAAAATAATAAGAAAGCAGTAAAGTCAAAGGATGGCAACTAATTTTCACTAATCAGATATTCTACTTACTCCTAATTAATAGCATATTACAAGAACATTTTTACGTAGAAAATTAAAATTTAAGTTATTTGTTGGGACTGTTAAATATGCCAGAGATTGCAGCGTTATGATTTAAAAGGGCATTTCAGATGTTTGATTTAAAGGATTCTAGTATTGTATACAAAACATGAACGTTCCTAGAGACTAATGATTTCCCATTTTATTGTGGTCCTGGTTTAAAACATGTATCCAAAACACGTGAGAAGGTATTATCTTGCAGAAAATTTAAGTAATTCTAAATCAAAAATACAAACATGCCTTCATACCTATTTTCAAGTTTAAATTGCATTAACTGAGCCTAGAATATTGATGCTTCAGCTTTCCAAAAAAGGAATGAAAGACAGGAAGCAAAAAATACCAGTAAGAACTTATAAAAAAAAGGGAAATTTAATGCAGACTAAGTGCCAAATACTGCATTTTGAGTGGAAGAATAAGTAGAGACAATCTAATCAGAATGGTACAATTTACAGGTCATAAGAATCAGAGACGTGGCTGTTTATTTGCACAAAGCCTTGAAAGACGCAGGACAAGTTGATAAAGCACAAAATATCCTAGGTAGGGGTAGAGGGCACAAAAACTAGTAAGTGCATGCTAACTTTACAAATTATTGCTTAGGTTTCAGTTGGATTATTGGCTCTGATTTGCGTTTCTAGATTGGGAGCAGAGACAGAATTCCTGGCTCCACAAACCCAACCTTTAAATATGGTTGCCCGCACTTTTGGTGCACAGTAGTGGACTTCTCACCTTTTTCATCATTGGATAAATATGAAAGCGCTTCCCCTTCAGAGATAGCAGTCTGACCATGGCCTCATCCTCATTTATTTGGATCTTCCGCTCCACCATGTTGTGCTGAATGCAGCATACAACAGTTACTTGTGAACCACTGCAGAGGCATATTGGAGAGCTACTCCTGAGTGATCAAGGCACCCAAGTCTCATTTCTAGAATGCCAATAGTCACTCTTTCCTGTTTGTGGTGAAACTGCTGGTGTTCAGTTGCACTTTGCATCAGATTGTGGGTTCCTAAAAGATATCATCAGGCAAGATCTTAGGAAATCACCTTTGTCCCCTGAAAACTAATCCCGATCTGCATTAGTCACTGAATGTTATGGGGGAGTTGAGAATTATTTCATATAAAGGAGTCATGGAAGCATGTGCATATGTGAACAAATACATTGTTGTGGTTGCAAGGCCTTTATTGCAACATGAGTGCAAATCAATAAAATTCTGCATCTGGGGTAAAAACTACACTTGGATCTCTGATTTTGGATGGCCAAATCCAAAAAGAAATTAATATACTACCTGACATGAGCAAACAGGGCATACATCATATCCTTTGTGCTGCTGATTGGGAAATATGAGCCAGGTCATCTGCTATGCTCTGGAAAGTGCCTATAGCACAGAACTGTATTGAGACTGTAGCTTCACAGCCACTGTCAGGGCATGGTGGTCAGAGGATTGTGGTTTCAGTTGGTGCTGCAATATGCAACAATCTCTCTCAGCTCTATCCAAGCCTCCTCTAGTGTAGATTTTCTGTCAGATTAAAATAGGACATTATACACCTGTAGACTCTCCCCACAGGATAGAACTTGATTGCCCTCCTTCTCCTAGTTCTCAGAAGGTTGCTGGCGTAACCTTTTCCTCATGATCTTCGGTCCTCTCTCTCGACTCCAACTAATCATAGTTAATTGTTTTATTGGCTTCTATGTGAGACATGAGTCATACACATGGTCTATGCTCCCTTGCTTGAAGTATAATGTGGCCTTTAAAAGGAAGAATATCTTCCTTGCACCTGGGTGCAACTGTAATGTAGGGACAGCAAATAATTGCCTTGGCAGACCAACCCAGCCTCATCTTTCATTCATTAGGTTAAAATAATAGTGTGATTAAAGTTACTGACATTCCCTGTTCAGTTAATGCAAGTACCTCTACAGAGTTCTCCAAGGTGTACTGTGGCTATCCAAAGGGAATCCACTGAAACAGGTCAAGTAAGTGCACTCTGGATTTGAGACAGCAGGGAAACCAAAACCTTGTTTAAATGGACAGACTTGAGTATTTAACTGGTCAACAGTTTCCAGGACCTGTGGCATACCTGCAAAAATAGGAAGTTATCAGTTCTGGATCAGGGCTTCCGATTCTCAGCAATCTCAAGGATTTTGGCATTAACGCTGTGGAGATGGTCTCTGATGCAGTGAAAATTTGGTCCAATAAATCCAATTCTAGGTGTCATAAGTTAAAAGAGATATTAAGACTTTGGGATGGCAAATATGTAGCTTTATCAGATTGAGAGGGATGAGGGATTTCAATAACATAGAGAAACCAGAGATGCTGGGATTATTCTCCTTACGACAATTAAGGTCAAGGAGAGATTTAGTAACTGTTCAATATTGAGAAATTTTTAACATAAAACAATGGGGAGAAAATGTTTCCACTAGCTGCAATGTCTGTAAACAAATGGCATAGATTTAAGATAACTGGTAAAAATACTGGTGGAAATGAGAATACATCACCTAAAAGATAATGGGGATAGATAGTAGCAACTTTCGAAAGGTAATTGGATGTATATTCGAAAATCAAATATCTGCAGAGTTATGCACAGGTCCAATGGGCCAGAAAGCCTTCTATTGTGCAAATTTTATTCTATAATCTATCATATCATTTTCTCATCAACAGGTAATGTATCAGGCTTTATAATGGGTATTTATTTTGTTACACAAAATTGATCCCACTCTCCAAGTCAAAACTGTATAGAGATTTCAATAAAGTGAAACATGAAGAAAACATTTAAAAATTTAACAAATTGGTCAAGCAACAGAAAATCTACAAAGATTTTCAAAAATTCTTTGAAAGAATGTTGTGCTTCCAATAATATTTTCTTAATCCTAGAACAATTCTTAAATACTTTTGTCTCTATCTAAATAGTAGTCTATTGTTCAAGCTCCCAATTTCTATGAGAAATGTGCCAAAACTATGCTAAAATTTGAACTGTGTGTACATCAATGTAAATCTTTCCAAAACTATTCCACCATACAACCAAAGAAACACACACACATTTTTGGTTCGATACTAGATACCACATATATACAGACAAACACTGAACCAATGATCTCACTAGTCTTGATAATGCCTCGAAACTTCTCCAATTGTATCTGTAAAGCACTAGATTTATAATCAGAGTCTAGGATTTTGTCAGCATGGATCTAATGGGCTGAACAGCCTCCTTCTGTGCTAGTGACTCTATGACATGTATTGTACACATATACACTATTCTTTAGCTTTTTTTAAGCCAGCATAGTGCGCAATATTTATACAATTAGGCTGTCATTGAATCAAGATTAAACAGTAACTGACCAAGTATTTCTTAATTCTTGGGTATTCCAGGTACATTACTTATTGCAATCTTTCCCTTTCAATGTCTGATCAGGAATCTATCAGTTTAGTGAAGATGTGCAGATTACCTTTTGGTAATTCAAACAGCTGATTTGGAATGGTGTTGAATATAGATTCAAAGGCAACAGGAAAGAATAAATCCTGGAGGTTAATAGCAACTGTGAATACCTAGCAATGTAATTGATTAGAAATATAGCACTTTCTACAATTACACTGCACTGCAGCTTTTCTTACTGCAGCAGCTAAATCTGTATGCATGGCAATTTTAGTAGCATAAGATAAAGTAAATCAGTAAACAGAAAATATGCTTGACATTAAATTACATTTCAAGCTGCATTGATACTTTTACAATTTTAGTTAGCACAAAGCGTCAAAGCGAACACAAATGTTCTGATATCATGACTGTAGAAACTTCATCTATTTTTGGTATTCCTCCAGTCATTAAGCACCAACTAGCAAGCTTGTATCAAGTGATGTTGAATCTTTTAAGAATCTTAGCAGCAGGCAGGGATTCCTGTCACCTGGATCCCAAAAGACATTACAGCAGGTTTCGCAGAATGACCTGGATTAGGATGCTGTTGGGTCTCTTGCAGTAGCACAAGCAGCGGCAGCAGCAGGAGCTTGAGGAATTTCCAAACCAGTGTGGAGTGTCACCTATAGAGAGGTTGAGAATATAACTGATGAAAAATAACTACTTTTCAGATATTTCTAAGAAACAATTAACATTTAGTGTATCTTCCATGACACTCAAACTTAGAAAAAAAGTATACAAGTAAATAAATTTGCACATCTTAGAAACACTTCCCTATACTTGGATTCCTCATTGATTTGTTCACTCATTTCAACACATCATTTGCTTATATACTGTGATGGTTTCAAACTTAACAAAAATTACCAATCAAGTTATTGGAACATGTTATGATATACCTCTGGAAGAGGTGAGAGTTGACCTGGATCTTTTGGTCCAGGTAGGGACTCTCATTAGGTACTATGATTACATTGTAAGGCACATATCAAACTTTTATTTATAAGCCTACTGGCAAATCGAATTCCTAGCTTGTAAAGGTCCAGATTTCTCAAGTGACAACTGGCTGAGGCCCATTACCCACTCACAAAAAATTCACAATAATAATCATTAGACCTGGCTCTCTGTAGGGGCTATTCTCAGATATGGAGTCATGGAGTTATACAGTATGGAAACAGACCCTTTGGTCCAACTAGTCCATGCCAGCCATGTTCCCAAACTAAACTAGTTCCACCTGCCTGTGTTTGGCCCGTATCCCTCCAAACCTTTCATATTCATACACTTATCCAAATGTCTTTTAAATGTAGTAACAGTACCTGCATCCACCAGTTCCTATGGCAGTCCATTCCACACACAAAACTCTGTGTAAAAAAAGTTGCCCTTCATGTCCTTTTTAAATCTTTCTCCTCTCATCCTAAAAATATGTCCCCTAGTTTTGAACTCCTCCACCTTAGGGAAAAGACCTTGACTATTCACCTTACCTATATTATTTACCTATTTTATAAACCACTGTAAGGTCACCCCTCAACCTCCTATGCTCCAGTAAAACAAGTCCCAGCCTATTTTTATAATATGTGGCAAAGAAACAGGTCATTCAGCCAAGCTGATCCAGGCCATGTTTATGCTCCACACCAGCCTCCTCCATCAAAGGAGCTGACTTGTTTTATTGATTCAACGTTGTCGGCAAATGTGATTAGTTAATCATTAGTCACGTAGCAAATATTCCCATAGCTTCCAGCTTCTTTGACAAGGCTGAGTGACAAACTATAATTAAAAACTTGATAAAAAGATTATAGAAGTAACAAGTGGGCTTCTGCATATTACACTGAAACGGCCCAATATATTCTAAAGCTTCAATGAGATAGCTCCTTACTGGAAACTATGAAATATTACAGCATAATAATTGTCCTTGGCTGGATTCCATTAGTTTGCTGAGTCAATAAGTTTTAGATTTGAACTTTAGTCTAGGACTTGAACCAAAAGTCTAGGCTGACACTTCAATGCAGTACTGAGGGATTGTTGCATTATTAGTCGTTCTATCCTTTGAGGCAAATAAAACTGGGGCTGCTTCTGCCTACTGGTGCTTGAGAAGGATGTTAATTTTTTAAATGCTTTATTCAAAGAGTAATCCACAAATGTCATTTGCTTCATGCTTTGTAGCTGCCAACTTGCACACTGTAAAGAATGCTTAGATAAATTACTTGACATCAAAAGTAAATTTTAGCTGGCAAGTGTTTTAAGACTCCTAAGCATGTAATACAGTTCATATAATGCAGATGCCTTTTCATTCACTTTCCTGATGTCTTTGAGTTTGTTGATCATGTATATCAGCCTAGAGGAACTTAGAACATGTTAATTTTAATCAACAAATCAATGATTTTTGTTTGTGAGCTCTTCCAAATTAATCTTTCTAGATTATTTTATTCTAATAGCTTCACAACACTCAACCTACCAACTCAGTAGATTTTGTGTACTCTAAGGCAGCTAACAGAGACTCTTTAGAATTGGTCAATGCTGAATTTTAATTTCAAGGGCAAGTTAATATTAATATTGAAGTTGGAAAAAAACCATGACTTCTGTCATGAGGACAGAAAATTATTGATGACTTCAACTTCATCCTATCGGCAGTTGGACAAACACCATCGCTTGTTTCATGGTTAGCAGTATTCTTTTGGGGACCAAGTGCTCTGGCATAATTAAAGTAGAGAGATATTCAACTGCTTTGTTTCTGTAAGGAGCACCCGCAATCGCATTTGATTTCAAGCGAATGTGGGTGATTTTCAGGTGATAAGATTAAAAGAAAATCTCCAACAGAATAACCAGGCGTGCTGGGTCTTAAACTTTTCCACAAAATTTAATGGTCATTATAGATGCGGTCTCCTGTACACAAATATAGGAATTGCTGGAAAAACTCAGCAAGTCTGGCAGCATCTATGGAAAGAAAGCAGAGTTAAAGTACAGGTCTAGTGACCGCTCTTCTCAAAGTGTCTGACAGCCAATAATAAACTATTCTGGATTTCAATTCTGATTCTGTTAAGTTCTTTTAGAGAAGTACCCAATTGGTCTCACTACACTGGTTTCATCTTTCTGAAGTAAAGCAGTCCCTACTTTGATGGCTACTTTGTACAGGTCACTAACCACGCCTTTAACAGTGCACTTCGTATTGTAGGAGCACTAACACATAGTATCCTGGCTGAAAGATTTTGGACATGGCATGTTTATCTGCCTTTCACATCACTGCTGTTTTTGAGATTTTCAAGTGTTCTTGGGCCACTGCACAGGTTCGTCAGTTTCGCTCTCGGAACTTTACTTCAGTCTACCATGAGACTTCCTCTTTTGTTCTAAAAATTTTTCTTTGATTAGTTTCAGAGGCACCCACACTTAGTGTCTAAAAGTAATTCAATGGAATAAACCCAGTGGACTCATTAGGTCAAACCCTGATAGCAGAAGAAAATTTAGTTCTTTATCCCAGTCATGGGAGTACTCACGACAGTATGCCCTGATCTTTGTTTTCAGGCTCTTGTGGTACCATTTTAGCAACCCCTGTTACTGCTGATAATATGCTGTAGACTTCTACTGAGTTACGCCTATGTTACCCATGACCCTGAAAAAAATTGGACGTGAAATTTGAAAAAAAAACTGAAAGAACTGCGGATGTTAGAAATCTGAAACAGAAAACAGAAATTGCTGGAAAATCTCAACAGATCTGGTGGCATCTGGAGAAAAATCAGAGTTAATGTTTTGGGCCCAGAGACCCTTGCTCAGAACTGATTTTGGCTAGGAAAGGAATGTTTTTTGTGCAAAAAATAGAGTGCGTGGTGGAGAGGAGTAAATGATAGGAGGAGATAGAGCCCAAAGAGAGAGAAGAAAAAACAGTTGAACAGACAAAGGAGAGGATAAAGACCAGCTTAGGAAAATGAATAGCTGCTAATGGGGACTATTAGCAGCTGACAATGGGTTCTGTGTGGTAGCAGCCCATGTGATGACAAGGCCGGGTGTGTGGTGCTGGGGAAAGCATGGGGAAAGGTGCTCAAACCCTGAGATTGTTGAACTTGATATTAAGTCCAGAAACTTGCAGGATTCCCAAGCAGAAAATTTCAACAATGAAAATGAAATTTGAACTCTGCTCCAACTGAATCTCGACAGATATACCATACTGGATGAAGAAATCAATCAATTCTCTCACCAGTGTTTTGGTGGATATAGAACAGCTTTCCAGGAAATGGGTAGCCATGTCTATGATGGTAAGGATATAGTAGAAGCCTCCTTTTGTTTTGGGCAGAGGACCCTTACATTCCACAAAACATTGTTGAATGGTTTTCCAAAAGCCGATAGGTTTAGGGTTAAAGTCTCATTGTGGTAGAGTTTTCCTACAACCTGGCAGGTGTGGCATGTTTTGCAAAACCTTAGTTCATGCCTGTGGAGCTGTGGCCAGTAAAAGTATTGCCTAATTTGTTCTTGGGTTTCACATATACTGACTTGCTTAGCTATTGGAATTTCGTGAACTAGGCATAATATTTCTCTACAGTGCCTCAGCAGTACCACCATCTGGTGGATCATTGACCACTTTTTGTTGCAAGTCTGTGAGAGGTCTTCATTTCCTCATCAGAACCTAATTTTTACTTCAAGGACTGCTTCTCCCTCCAGTTCAACAAGAGCAGTCTGAAATACTTTTTTTTTAACAGGGGTCAAATTTATTAGGCTGCTACCAAGGAAGTTCTATTTTTTACCTCCTTGGGTTCTCCTACATGCCCACAAAAAGTTTCTGGTAACTAGACCAAAGGGTCTTTCTGCTTGCAATGCCACCTCAGCCTCCACGGGCTGAGTTTGTTTGGCTTTAGTGTGGGTGATCATAGCGCAGAACAACTACTGCAGGAATTGTAACTGGTTTTCTTCAAGTTTAAACAGTGTTTCTTTACTGCAAAAAAACAGGCCGCTTCTGCTGGGGAGAACAACTGCGCACACTTGTGCCTTTCTCTCTCTGTGTGTCTGCACCTCTCTAACTTGTTTCCAGTTCCAACCTGCTCAATTAGCTGAGAACCAAATCAGCTTCATTTGTTAAGAACTCCTCAGCTCCTGATTGGCTGCATATTGCAGGAACCCATTGCTACAAAAACATAGTTCACAATAGCTATCAAAGACCTTGCTGAAAAATTACGTAGCCAGCTTAGCAAATCCATTTTTTCTTAAACAATTCTTTCTCATTGCAGTCCACAGTTTCCAAAGACAAAATTTAAGACATGGTGCTTACAGAAGACTCACTTTGGAATTACAGAATAAAAATGTCTACGTTATTTGGTTATAACCATAGGGAGGATAAAAAAAGAATTCAGATTGAAAACTACTGGATTATTAGAGTACTAAATCAGAAACATCAGGTAAAACTATTATTTAAACACACATACATAAAAGGAATTGAGTTTTTTGAAAATGTATAGAATTAAGTATTGTACCACAGAACACACCTGTACATTTCTATTCAGGCTTACTGCTGGGAACAGGAGGCCTTCCATATCCTCAAAGGCAACAGGTCCCTGTTGCTCATCATTAATGGAAAAGGTAAGTGTCCGTCTGTTGAAATCCAAGAGCACACCAACAGTGACCCCTTTGGTAATGCCTCCCTCAGTTCTAGGACAAAGAAGTAACAGTGCTCATTTGTTAAATGTCTAAAATAGTAATCATAAATCTTTATAATTCTATACTGTACAGACTATTATATTTTGTCAAAACCAGGATTTTTGCTCCATAAGCCTTCGACTCACTCGAGTTCACCTGATCAGCATAACTTGTAATTCCTTTATCTCTCATGTACTTGACCAGGATCCACTAAAAAGCATTCTGCTGCCAAATTGGTCCATCTTCACTTGAAAGAAGCACTCTTTTCTCTTTGTTTTCAAGGGATATGGGTGTTGCTGACAAGGCCAGCATTTGTTGTAAATCTCTAATTACCCTTAAATTTAGTGGCTTGCAAAGCATTTCCGGTGGTAGTTAAGAGTCACCCACATTGCCTGTAGTTACATGTAGACCAGAATGGGTATGGATAGAAGATTTCCTTGTCTCAAGGACATCAGTGAACTAGCTAAGTTTTTAATAATAATCAATACTGGCTTCATGATCACCATTCCTAGTCTAGTTTCTTAGTTCTAGATTTTTTTTCTAAATTCAAATTCCACCAGCTGTCAATCTAGAATTATAGAATCCTTACAGTGTGGAAGCAGGCTACACGACCCAACGAGTCTACACTGACTCTCCAAACCACATCCCAACCAGACTCAACCTCCTTCCCTGTCCCTATAACCCCACATTTTCCATAGCCAATCCACCTAACCTGCACATCTTTGGACTGTGAGAGGAAACCAGAGCACCCGGAGGAAACCCACGTAGACATAGAGAGAACATACAACTCCGCATGGACAGTCGCCTAAGGAATCGAAGCCGGGTCCCTGGCGCTGTGGGGCAGCAGTGCTAACCACTGAGCCACTGTGCCACCCCAGCTGGGTTTGAACCCATGTCCTCAGGATATCTGGATTATTAAGGCAGCAATATTACCACTACATTTGATATCTTGACACATTCTGAAGATTAAACAGAAAATACTGGAAATAGTGGATCAGGCGGCATCTGTGGCGAAAAAAAGATGTTTCTGGTCAATAACTCCTGCATCAAGGGTCCTCCCATTAACAATTTATCTGCTCAGAAGCTGCCTGAAGTGTTGGGAGTTAAGGTTATAAGGTTATCTCTGGTAAGATCACTATTTATAAGTAGAGATACGTAATTGAAATGAAAAACAAAGGTTAGCTTGACAAGTGTTGAGGAGGAAAAGAACTATGTACACATAGCACCAATGACATAATGATACATCTCATGACACTTGTTACAATTACAGTGAAAATGGATCCGTATACTCAACTTTCACAATTTTACTTTAAAATAACAGAAACTTCCATGGACTTAAAATAAGTTTGAAAAGGACAAATATTGAGCTAAAACAGATGCTGTAATCACCTGACTAGGTTAAGTCAAGCTTATGAACCCATCAGTAAAACAAGGGTCCACTAGAAGTAACGTTATTATGAAAAAGACATTGAAACTCGTAATGCATATCTTTCAGTTGATTCACATCTTTCTGGAAACTATGTAATGGAATGAAATGTTGTATGCAAAGTACTCAGCTGGAGAAAGTCTAGAGTAGTCTCAGGAAAGTACAGATGGACTGTTATCAACAGTCTGACTGAGCATTCTTTTATTCAATAATACCTTGGAGCTGACTCCTCTTCATGTTTGATCTGGCTAACTAAGTTTAATTAGAGCATGATAACTCTGTGCTAGAAGAGGGAAAAAAGATGTTTGTTGCAACTAATTGCATTTGGATTCTGAGATGAGATTTTTGAACAAGAACTGAAAGTCTGTCTTTCAACCTTAAGCTCAGACACAAGCTGATTTAAAAAAAAAACTTGGGACAATAGCAATGATTCAGTTAGGATTTTGGGACACCTACAGCTTTGCCATTACACTGGAAACAAGACCGCAGCTAAACAGTTGGACTCTGGTCTTTTTATTCTCACCTCACAAAGACTCTAAACTAAACTGCAACTGCCTTCACTTGTCTGTCTGTGCCAAATACCTGCCTCCACCATGCCTGTTATTTTGTAAGCTCATTACCTGTGTTTTTGTGTGTTTGTTATCACGTTTTACTTTTTTTGTTTCAGGTAATAGAATTGCATCCTCTTTCGTTCAATAATATGTTGGAATTGACTCTCCATTTTTGATCTGGCTAACTAAGTTTAATTAAAGCATGATAGCTCTGAGCTAAAAAGGTAAAAAAAAATTTGTTGCAACTGATTGCAATAGGATTTTAAAAAAAAACAGCTGTGACTCGTCCTCAGCTGGTTGTAACATGCTTTGTAGGAACATAATAAAAGAAAATATGAAAACCAAACCACATGAGGCTTTTGGTCACATGACCAAAAACATAGACTTCATGGAACCTTAAAGGAATTTGGAGGGGTAGAGGGGTGTAGGAAGATTATTCCTAGCTTTGGAATTATGCAACTGAATATCTCATAAGGTAATGGAACTGAAGGAGGTGATATAGATACGCAGGGGCAAGATGGTGACGTAATTTGAAAACGATGATGAGAATTTTAAAATCAAGATATTGTTTGACTGGGACTCAGTGCAGAGGAGTCATAAGGAAATAAGTCTCAGTGAGTTAAAATATTGCCCTCAGTTTTAGGTAGCCACAGGTTTACTGAGCACAGACTGTGGGAGACCAGCCAATAGCAGGTTGAAAAAGTCCACTCTAGAGATAACAAAGGCGTAAGGGTTTCAGCAGCAGACAAACTGAGACAGGGCAAAGTAGGGCATTGTTACAGAAGTGGAAATAGGCAGTCGTCATGATGGCACAAATATATGGTCTGTAGCTAATCTTGCAATCATATATGACATTAAGATTGTGAACAGACTGGCTTAATGTCAGACTGTTGCCAGGGAGATGGATGGAGTCAGCAGCTAGGGAATACAGTCAGGAGCAGGGATCAAAAGCAGCATCTTATTCTTCCCAATATTGAATTGGAGGACATTTCTGCTCATCTAGTTTTAAATTCTCAAACTCTCATAATCAGTATTGGGGATATGTAGAAAACATTAATGAGGAACTGTCACTGTAGTGAGTGTAATTTGTTTAGCCAGGTGGACCTCATAAAATATGACTTCCCCGATTGTGGCTGTCAATCTGGTCCAATTAGGGAGTCCTGGCTGACAGATATAAACACGAGAGTCAGAGGTTTTGTTCACTGACAGCTGGCTCTGAGGAAGCTGGATCAGTGTCAAGGACTTTCCATGTGCGACTGAAGGGGGACTTGGTGACAGGACACTAGCTTCTGTGGAGTTATTTCAGTCACCCTTCAATTAAACTTGTTAAAAATCAACTGGAAAGAATGAGCATCTAATTTTTGTTTACATAGTGAAGGTTGGTATCATAACGTTGATACAAAGGAATTTCCATTGAGTCCCACATTAATTAACTTAACAATAATCATTTTTTACATTACCTGTTGGTGTGAGAGTTGTTATGCATAAACCAGCTTCGATTATTATCAACATACATAGCCCAGGCCTTATCATCCTTTCCTAACATGACATCTTTCAAGACATCTATACGAGCCACACCAAATGCAGGGTCAGGATGGTTGTCGTAGCGGTCAATACTCAGCTCCCAATAATGGATACCTCGGGAAAATCCAGTGTTTCCTAGAACTACCCTGTCATCATAGCTGTTGCAGGTAATAGTGAGGTTGTCATTAGAGAACAGAATGTCAGGATGAGCTGAACCCGAATCAAAACCAAACCAGGCAACTGAAAAAGAAAATAAAATATTATAATTATTATGAATATAACTTCATATAGAATCAGATTAGAGACCTTATGGTAAAGTTGCATAGAATCTGACAAAAAAAGACAAGAATCCACACTTTAAAAATAAAATAAAATTCACCACATGACATTAAGACCAAGGTTACCCAGGTAAACCTTTCATTAATACAGATAAAATTTGGCCATTTCTTATTACTGGAATGAAAGTGGTATTGAAACAGCACATCAAACCAGTATTATGGTAGTCTTTGTTCTAATGCAAATTTTCCTACCAAGTAATCAAAGCAACCACATGAATATTTTCATAACTTCACAGACAATTCTGATTTGGAATCATATCGCCAGTCTTTCATCCTTGTGTAAAAATCCTGTTACTTTTCATAACAGCACTGTGAGTGTACTTACATCAGACAGTCTGCAGTGGTTTGAGAAGTGGCACGTGACCAACTTTTCAAGGACAATTAAAAACGAGCAATAAATGCTGGCCTTACCAGTAACATTCACATCCCAGGGACAGTATATTTAAAAAGTTGCTGAATTCAGAATGACATGGAGTTAGTTTCTGATGGTCCTGAATTATCACATTTAGAATTGGGTTCACCTTGATCTGGGCATATTTTTAACTAGGATTTCAAATGTATATTTTCCCATTGCAATCCAAATGCATCCCTAAAACCAGCTACCACTGTAGTGTTAACATCTGTTCACACCTCCAATACTTTACCTTTCCTTAAAAACATAAGGTAGTATACAAACAAAGAAGCTACCTAACAAGGAATAGAGATCACCATAACCAAAGCCAATTCTGCTCTTCCCAACCATGCAGTTGTTCCAGCAATTTTCTGCAGGGCAATCCAGACTAACATCGTTACCTTCCTAGTCCCAAGGCAACGAGACCAATTGTCGTACATTTCACAGGATCATGATCTGAACCAGGACTCCACTGATCTTTAGAGCTCAATACCAGATGGTGTGATGTGTTTAACCACAGGGTGGAGGGGGAGGGTAGAAAAGGAGTGAGAGGATAGGCATAGATGGAGCCCAGAGAAACAGAATGACAGGAAGTCATAGGGATGGATAATAGTACGCTGAGGAGAAACAAAAGCTAATAAGGGTAATTAAAGCAACAAAGGTTGGCCTTGCCTGTGACGTTCACATCCCATGAAAGAAAAAGGTAGTATTCCAATTTGTTTCAAAACCACCATCAACTCAACAACTTATCTATTAACTCTCTGTCCTTGCAAGCTACCAGCTACTTTCCCCATTCAAAGTTCTTGACCAAATTGTCAAGGACTTCCTCTTATGTTCTTAAGCTTTTTTGCACCCCCAACCTCCTCCAACCAGAGTCCCTATCCCTCCAATCTAGAGACTACCCTTCTGTTTTCTGCCACATTTCCAAAAGTCCTTGATCCCAATTCCCCCAACAGCCTCTTTCTCCTCTGCCTAAACTTTAATCTTTCAATCCCCACACCCCACCCCAGCCTTTCACTTTTCCTGATCCCCATTTAATAATCCTTCTTTGGTCATATCTCCCACTCTTCCAACTGAGTCTGTTGTCACACTCCTGAATTCCAGTTTCCTACAATCCAGCCCATTTGCCAGGTAGAGGTTTGGAGGAAACATTCCCTGTCTCGGGAATGTAGAAGTGGGGTTTTAAAAGGTTTGAGGGCAAGCATGTTAGGTGGTGACTAACAGATCAACCCCAATCACCAAGAAAATTAGTCCAACCGCCCCAGACAGATCAGTAAGAACTTATGCCAAGTATGGACAAGTTCTTCAGTGAATTACAGGCCTCAACGTTGGTGTCCCAGATTGCCAGAAGCGACAGGCCAATCAGAGCTTCTGGTTCCTAAAGTCCTCTGGTTGAGGCCTACTCCTCAGAGGATTCAACAGTGAAAGCTAAGTACTCTTCTCATGGGGTGGGAATCATGGAGTTTGTCGGAAGAAATACTGCAGATGCTCAGCCATTGAGTATTTTCAAGGCATCAGCTGCTAGAATTCTGGGTACCAAGGATATTAAGAAATGTAGTATGGGAAATGGAGTTGTTGTGGATCATCAGTCATAATCTTAGTAAAGATATGAAGGGCTACTTCTGCTTCTTATGTTATCATGTCAAATACTTGCTTAAGGTATTCAATGTCACTCTTGAATTTCTCAATAAGATTTTACCCTATCCCTGGTATGATTCTGAATAGCTCTATCCAAAGCCACAAAGGACATCCTCTGTAACAAACACAAGACAGACTCTGAAGGAAAGTCATAATGGACTCGAAATGTTAACTCGGTTTTTCTCTCCACAGATGTTGCCAGATCTGCTGAGTTTCTCCAGCATTCTCTGAGTTTGTTTCAGATTTCCAATATCAGCAGTATTTTGCTTTTATTCAAATGACATCTTCTGTAGCTGGGATTGTGACGAAATTCACCTTCTTGTTACTTTTGTAGCCTTTGACACAGTCAATATCATCATTCTATTCCAACGTGTATTCTCTGTTAATGCAGCTGCTGTCATTTGACTCCATTTTACAAACAAAGGATTGCTAGCAAAAACACATTCTCACGTCTGTCCAATTTCCTCTGGAATAACGCAAAGTTTTTTTTTGGCTTTTCCTCTTTCTAGTCCACATGCTTCCTCCTCACAACATGTGACGAAAACTCCCCTCCCCCGACCGCATCCCAAAACCAGCCCAGCTCGTACCAGCCTCCCTAACCTGTCCTCCCACCTATCCACTCCTCCCACCTCAAGCCCCACCCCCCATCTCCTACCTATTAGCTTCATCCCACCTCCTTGAACTGTCCGTCCTTCCTGGACCGACCTATCCCCTCCCTTACTCCCCATCTACCCTCACCTTTACTGGCTCCAACTCCGCCTCCTTGACCTGTCTGTCTCCTCTCCACTTATCTTTTCCCTTATCCATCTTCTATCCGCCTCCCCCTTTCTCCCTATTTATTTCAGAATCCCCTTCCCCTCCCCCATTTCTGAAGAAGGGTCTAGACCCGAAACGTCAGCTTTCCTGCTGCTCTGATGCTGCTTGGCCTTCTGTGTTCATCCAGCTCTACACCTTGTTATCTCCAAAAGTTTACTGACTGGTCCTGTACGGACTTTTTCCCCATATGAAAATTTCCAACTCTACAGCAATGCCAATGATGACTTGACAGTCACCTCAGCAGATAACTGTATGACAGGAATGTTAGTGGCAACAAGAATTAGGGCATTAGTAGGTCAGGGAAGGTGATCACAAAGGAACAGACTGCCTTTGTTAAAAGACAGCGTTAGCTAATAAAAGTAACAGAACAAGAAAATTAAGAGCATATAAAGGTAACAATTTTCACATTATTCTTAATAGGACAATATGACTAATACATTGCAATACACTGGAATTATAACATTTTATGGAGATAATCCTTTACTAAAAACTGCATTAAGATATATGCAATATTTAAACTGAATGTCACAAAATAAACATAATGTGTATGCTTTATGACCAGAAGTTGTCAAATATTTTACATAATTTCTTTAATTATTGGATACTTCCCATAATTGGCTTAGAATAATGGAGCAGAAACACAATTTTCTCCAGCAAACCACCTCCTTCAAGGGTTTTTTTGGCTCGTCCCAAGTAATTTTTGCTTAGGACAATGACAAGATGATGAATGAGAATATATGATGCTTTTAATAAAAGGCAGGTCACATTTCCTTGATGCAACAATTATAGATGTTACGGTTATTTTTAAAGTTTTAGATCAGTATGATTTTGATCTTCCTTGCATTCTAACACTGACATAACACAGAATGACAGGCAGTGCCTACAATTAGTAATATTAGTAATTTCAGCATACATCTCACACTTGAATTAAATATTTGTACAAACATGTGGAACACAAAAAAGAAATCCTGAACCCATAAACTGAAATTATGATATCTATCAGCTTTGTACAAAAAGTGGCTAATTGGACTAATCCAGGGACTTGAATTGATACAAAGGCAGTATTTTAGTGGGAGTGGGTAAAATAAGGCCTCATAATAGAATACAAATTAGCTTAAAAATGAGAGGCATCTTGAAAATCCCCAGAGACATTACATTTCTCAATATGGAGGGAGAGAACAAAAAGTGAAAAGATTCACATATGGAACTCAGAATACCAGGAAGGTGGATGAGAATGGAGGATATTACTTTCCTCAGCATTAGCATTTCCCCTCAATAAGCAAATTACCTATTTTCATGTACAGTGGAAACTATAACCTGACCACAACCCCGTACGTCTTCCACAGCAAGGAAATTAGTTGATCTGCCAATGCTGCTCTGCTTGAAATTAACTTTTTTTATTCCCTGAGAAAGTACCAATCCATTAACTGTGCTTCTCCTAACACCATGTAAATTATAAGTGTGAATCTGAAATCCTACCGATCGACCATGAAACACTAATTTGTTGCACTGCTGCATCTGTCTTAAAGTTCTATGCTCAGATCCTTCCTGGTTGGTTTTGTATGTTATAGACTCCAAAACAGTTATATTAAATTTTATGTCTCATTTAGCAAATGACTGGTCACCAATGTTATGCCACAAAATATTTGGCAACTTAAGATTCACCTATCAGTATAACATTTTTTATTTGTTTGTTCATGGGACATAGGCTAAGCCAGCATTTATTGCCCATTCCTACTTGTGATTGAGAAAGTAGTGGTGAGCTTTTCTTGAACTGCTTCAGTCCTTGCGGTGTGGGGACATCCTACAATGCTGTTCGGGAGGAAGTTTTAGGATTTTGACCCTGTGACACTGAAGGAACGGCAATATAATTCCAAGTCAGGATGGTGTGTGGCTTGGAGCTCAATAATTAACAACACAGCTAAAATTAGCCAACTTTAACTTGGAATTCTACTAACGGAGAGGAATCAAAATATATTCTCACGTAAGTAAAATTATCATAACCAAAGTAGTACCAAGACATTTGCAATATTAGTATGGATGCCTGTCATCACAAG